GGTTTTTTTGTTGGGGTGCCTTGTGGCCCAACCCCTTTTTTTCAAGGAAAACAAAATACTAAATATGTTTTTTACCCGGGGGGCCCCCCCCCCCTCCCCGGTGTGCCCGTGGGTGTGTGTGTATTCTTCTCCCTGTGCTTCCCCAGGGGTTTCGTGTTCGGGCGGATGATGGCCAGGGACAATGAAGTTGAGGCGGAGGTCGATGAGGTTGAGTTGAGTGAAGATTTGTAAAAGATCCCGGGGCGGGGGGGGGGGTGATGATGATGCTGCCCCCAGCAAGATGACAGCAGCTGTAGTAAGAATATTGTAGTTTTTTTGGGGGGGATAAATTGCGGTCGGGGAATTTGGGTGGTAACATCGTTTGATTTAATTTCGGAATTATTACTTTTGTTTAAAAGTTGGGGGGCGTTGCACGAGAACGAGCGGGGGCTGCTGCACGAGATACGTCCATAGGGCGGGTGAGAGTGGTGCTGCCTGCCGATGAGGCTTTGCAGTGCAACGTAGAGGAGGTGATTCCCGACTTGACCGCGGGGAAATGGTATTTTGACGAGTTTTTTTTGCAGCCTCACCTGTAGCGGGCGTGATTTCAATGCTGTGCGAGATGGCACACGCCTGGTGTCGGCCTTTTTAAGCGTGGCACCCCTGCCTTGACAGTCTCGGGTGCTACACTACGGTCTGCCCACTTGACGTCTATGCATCTGAGAAGCTGCGGGAAAATACAGATTGTCCTTTTTTGAAACAGGGTAAGGAGTAAGTACGCGCCAACATTGCTGGTTGAAAAGGACTGGTTAGGAGAGTTGAGAACAGCAACACGTCTTGTTCATTCATCCAGTTCGCCGGGCGAGGATAATACAAGAAAACAAGAGCAAGCAGGACAAGAAAGCATAGTGCCCCATCCACTCATGGAGGAACTACCCATGATTGCGAGTGTGCGTAGGGCGGCAACAAGGGCCAAAGGCCTGGTTGGAGCCAACCCATCAAGCGGAACGCGCACATGTACTCCCAAGATTTTGTCAGTCTCACGAGACCATATCCTTGTGGAGTACCATAGGTTGTTGGCAAGGCTGCTACTACTGCAGCACCGGCTATGCCGGAACAAACCAGCCTACATTTTCTCTCGCTCGAGTCTTGTGTTCACCCTCGGGCACACACACTCACAAAGCGTGGAAGGGGGTCTACAGCAGTTGTAGGCGTTGTCAAAAGCAAACATCCATCCGGCATTATGTAGCAGATCGCTGCTTAGCAGAGGTAGGGTTGCGTGATTGAACCGTACACGGGGTTGGGAAGCAGAGGCGGAAGAGGTGGGCTATATCACGAGGTCGGCCAGCCCCTGGTTGTTGATCTTCCATTCGTACCGCAATCTCTACTGTACACGTTTATTTCTCGCGTCATTCCTTTGTTCCACACGTCATGCTAGTTTACTGAAAGCAATTTCTCGTACGTGTACTTGGAGACGAATGACTAAGCCCGTCTCGCGAACCACGTTGAAGGAGGCATGAAGACGTCAGTCTCGTGCGGGTGTGTGTGTGTATTCGTCCCATTTACTCTGGCTCCAGTCACCACACACCTCTCGGACTACATGTTTGACGCATGTATCAGTCGGGGACACACACGAACGAGGAAAGGTCATACGATGCTCTTTTTTTCTTCCCTATTGCACGGAAGTACATATCAAGAGATTTTGGTCGCGCAATGGTATGCCGTTCTCGCGGCCCGCCCGCCTCGCTTCCGCCTCCACCGCGGCCACGGCTCCGAAAAACGTCCGCGTCCGCGCGAGCTCGGCGATGCACACTCTCGCACCTTGCCACGGCAGGCAAGCGGCGGCGGCTGCTGCCGATGATGTTGTACTAGGTGCCGGAGAGCCGGCAGGGTTAGTGCCGGGCAGCTGGCCAACGCGTGGGATGGGTTGGCGCGTCCTGAACGGGCTGTTCAAGGCGGACCTGGGACGTTGTTGTTAGTTGTTTGACGGGCAATCATCAGGTTTGTCGCGGCCTGGAATCCAATGGAGAAATTCGCGTGGTATAATAGTGCGACTACGTTTTGCCAATACGATTTGCGTATGGACAAAACCAAGAAGAACAACGTTGGTTACCTCTGCGCGCATTAACAATAAAACTCGGCCGGTGCGGACAGGGTTTTCGTGCAGTGACGAATCTCAGGGAAAACCTCGTCAACCACCCGCCCCACATATATCGCCTCCTTATCCCCCCTCCCTGGTGCTCAACCCCCGTCCGTCGTGCTTGACTTGTCTCACTTGACTGACGCCACGCCGAGCACAAGAGCGCGGAAGTCTTCGCCCGACGTCGCCCTGAGTATCCCAAACGGCTCAGCCTCTTCCGTCACTAGTGGTCCCCCCGTTCGTCCCGTGCGGCCGCAGCCAGCGGGTGGACCTCCCTGCGAGCAAGGATCGTCCCCCGCCGGCGGCCCTCCCCGCGCCGCCGCCAAGATGACAAAACGAAGAGACTCTCCCTCCCCGCTGCCCGGCAGACACATTACCCGCGTGAGGCGCGCCAGGGGAAGGGGAGGCGCGAACGTCGAGGCCGATCGGCGGCGGCGAGCGGGGTCGCTGCTCGTGACGGCGGTGTGTTCTGTCGTTGCACCACCGGCCGGCGTGGCCGCCGCCGCCGCCGCCGCCGCCTCGGGCGGTGCGCCAAGGTCGCGGAGGGCGAGGGTTGCCCCGGTGCTGCCGTCGGCGGCGTTGTTTTTCGCGGCCTGGAAGATGAGGGTGCAGCGGATGTCGTCGTCGTCACGACCAGTCTCGCCTGGTCGTATAACCTGGGGGGGGGGGGGGGGGGGGCAGAGCGAACATGGACGCAGCCACATGAGCGTCGTCTACATCACAATGATCTATTTCGTTTGTTAACAGTAGCCTGCAGCCTTGTATGTCTTCGTGTCGCTCTAGGTACTCCCGCTCACAGAAAAAACGACCGCTTAAATATTATTCCTTGCGCCCTTAGCCGTTACCTTGACGGTGGTCTTGAGGGTGGCCTCCACGTGCTTCCCCGGGATACGCGCCTCGCAAACAATTGACTTTCCGCGGCCCTCCACCCAGTTGATCGCGGCCGACTTCTTGTCCGTGCACATGTTGCCAGAAATCGCGACCAGCTCCATCTCAGGGAATTCCTAAGCACGCAAAATCGAACAGTTTTGACGATAGAGACAGAGCAAGGGCGAGAGGTGAGAGTGAGGGAGAGAGCTCTGCAACATCGCTTGTCGCAAAAGGTAGAGGTCGGCCAATCTGCGCGATCACCATCGGGACCAAGGGGCTTCGTCGTCCAACCCGAAAAACGCCTGCCTGACACGCACGACAACCCAAAGGAATTACTGCTGCACCACTAAACGGGTTGTTTTGAAATTAACGCAACTGAGCGCCTTGATGTTGAGCATTTCATGCAAGGTGATGACCCTCGATGGGTCGGGCGAACACATGCGATTACATGGCCATGCAGTCATCACCCTTGTCTTCGTCACCAACTTCTTGTCAACAGCTATGCATACGACAACCAGCTGTCACCTTCTGCAAGAGGTCGACGACCGCCAGAACCCCCTTGGAGACCATGTTCATCCCCATAGCATCTCCGGCGAAGCAGTTGAACCGAAGGTAAACGTTGCGCCCGGCCACGGTGGACATCAACCCCTGCAGCTTGCCTACACACACAAGAAATAAACGCAAACAAAAACGCGCCGCGGTAACGATCACTGCTGTGTCTCGGGTTCAAAGAACACCAAACGAGAGACCCAGAGGCACAAACAACCCTGCGGATTGCTTGCTCCCCGGACACACAACAAACGCGCCGCACACAAATAAATATAGCAAGAGCTCTTCCCTACAGGCCAAATTTTTGTACAAGCCTGAACAGGAGTGGGTATGTCAACGCAACATTTTATACGGGCCATTCGGTCGCTATTTGATCGCTTGGTACCAAAAGGAGGTGCCAAAGAGAGTAAGGACGATTTTCTAATATTTGAAAACAGAACAACGTCATCAAAAGCCAAAATCAACCACAGAAGCAGCAGCAATAGCAGCAAAATCACGACAAATATCGACCACAAACACAAAGATAACAACGGACACCCATCAGCAGTAAAAGCAACTTAAAATTAAGTATCCAACACAACACCAACAACACCAGCAGCAGCAGGAACAGCAACATCAAAATAAACACCCACCACAACAACGACGTTCACAGTCATCTCACCGAACCGAGTAGTAGTCTGGAAGGCGGCCTTGATGGCCTCGAAGTTGTCCGGCATCTCCGACCATTTCTTAAGGTCCGCCGCCGCCATCGCGTCGGGCATCCGCAGGCAAGGCGCCCGAGTGATGCCGTCCTTGAGAAGTGCCGCGCGGCACCCGCCTCCCTGGGAGATGGCCTTGCAGCCGCGGTTTGTGCTGGCAACCAGGCACCCCTGCCGGCGTACAACCGAACAAAACACACAGCAGCGGAGTGGTAATATATTTCATGGCAAAGTCCGTCTCCCCCGTTGCAGGCGGCCAGACACCCCTGCCAGCGTACCACAAAACGAACAAAAAAACACAGCAGCGGGGCGTAATCGCAAAGACTATCTCGCCTGGTGCTGGCAAGACCCTCGGGGCACATATTCAGCTTCGTACATGTCACTGGCTGCTTGGGCTAGACGGGGCCAGCGCAAAAAGCTAGCTCACCTCGGTGGTGGCCATCGGAACGTACACCTCCTGCCCGTTGAGCGTGAGGGGTCCCACGATGCCCACGGGGATGGGGATGTACCCGCACACGATCTCGCAATTTGCGCCGAAGATGCGCTCGTAGTCGTAGCCCTGAGATTGTACAGCCAGAGATACAGCCAAGATAAGTTTATGCGCCTAACCAGGACGGGTTTTTAAGTTTATTTGTCCTCGATCTACACGCGTTAACAACAAAGGGGGCACGCTGAAACAAGTACACTTTAAGGGAAGGAACTCCTGATTCTGCTCGCGATAAAAGAAAATATGAAAGCAGGCACGCGCTGAACAGAACTTTTGCAGCTATGAACCACTCCCTCGTCCTTCAATTTTCCGTCCACCTACACCCCGACCACCACCACCAGCAGACAACACAACCGAACGCTTGCGCTGGAATAGAAAACAGCAGTGAGCTCAAGTGAGCTCGATCTACATCGGTTCAAGTAAACACTCGATTTGGTGGAGCCTCCAGTGGCGGCCGGTGGTCCTGCCCGAGCCTTGTTCTCCGTGACCATCTGCCTACGCCACACCCGACATGTACTGAGACTCACCACCACCCCAAAACTTCCTTGAAAACCGTAGGCTTGTTCTGAAGCACTCCTTTGTGTTTTGCGATAGCACGACCACACAACCACGACTTCACGTGTGCCCGGAAACGAAAAACACAACGAGCACGAACCTCGACGGGGAGGCTCTCCATGGAACGGCCGATGCGCCTCTCGAACAGGCTGCGGCGCACCACGACCGCGCGGGCGTGATCGCCGAGCTTCTTCTCCAGCTGGTGGTCCTTCAGCTTGCCCGTCACCACGCACGCAGCCACCTACAACACAACAGAAAAACGTAGAAAAAACGAAAGCACGTGAAGGAAATGGCACATGCACACACCCATCGCCGTACACGTCGAGCAGCAGGTGGTGACTGACATCGCACAGCATACAAGACTACAAAAACGCACGTCAGGTACGAAACGGAGAGTATCTGACAGGAGTGTCGTTCTCGTTCTGCAACCATGACTCGAGATATCCCTGAGCCTATGCTCTCAGCCGCTAGCCGTGGAGGCGGTCGCAGAGCCTTCGATTAATTGGTGTGCGATCGGTCGACTTTGAACTTCGATCTTATTCCACAACAAATAGCTGGCTGTTCAATGCCGAAGACGATTGACTTCGGAAACATCTCGTCGAGGGCTTTATCTCCTTGCGTAGGTCGCTTTTCGATAGCAACCCCTTCACTGTAGAGCAATCAGTCTTCAGCAAAAACTGACCGCACACATTTTGCATTTCCCCGCACTTTTACGTTGTACTCCAAGGAGTAGCATACCAACGGCGTCGACCATGCGATATGTATCATACCTCTTCGTCGGTCATGGTCGAGTAGTCCTCTCCGTCAGGGACGGGCCCGAGGGCGGGCGGCGGCGTAGCAGCGGTCTTTTCCTTAAGCGATTTCCCGCCGCCGTTGTTGCTGCTGCACGAGGAAGGCTCCGCCACCGGCGGTGTGGAAGAGGAGGCCAGCTGCGGCGTCTCTTTCCCGCACATGGTGCCGTTCGAAGCACCTGACGAACGAATGTCAACAGAGAGGAGGGAGCGTACAACACAAGTGACGGGGCGAAAAAAAAAAGAGACGAAATCTTGCTGTGAAAACAAGTGTCAAGAGATTTGACCTGGCACTTGTCGTGGCCATGCCTATTGGAGATCGAGTATGCTTGTGACAAATTTGCACCACCGTGCACGGTCGCATATTTCGGCGAATCGATGCGTGCTCCGACCAAAGCTACACAAGAGCCTCGATTTTTTCCACCCTCCCTAACGTTAACACCCTCAAACTGTGCACACCACCCGAAAGGCTACGCCTGGGGCTCATTGTTGCCACCCTACGTACGTGTGCTGTGCACGTCAACCCCTCGAAACCCCTCAAGTCTCACTACCTTTAGCCGGGGGCTCCGCGAACTGCACAGCTCTTTTGCGCTCGGAGGCGTACAGGTGGGTGTCAAGGTGGGAGAGGCCGAAGGAGGAGGGGCTTCTCTCCATTGCGCTCGTGTCCAGGAAAGAGATGCCGAAAAACCCGAAAAAGTACGCCATGCACACGGACCTTCACAAGAATGGCAGGGGGAGACAGTATCGTGTGCGAGAGAGAGGGACATAAGAGGGGTTATGTCCCCGTACACGGACGCTAAACTGATGTGCCCTTGCCGACGTACAAGTACGTTAAGTCTAGGGTAACGTCCATCGGATGTTCCAATCGGGTGAGTATTCAGCCACCTCTGGACGAGACTTCAGGGCAGATCTCGACCTCTTGTAACATGGGATATGAGCACCGATGCAGGCCTGAGGATCTTTCAAAACACTGCTCTCAAATGTTGCACGTTGACAAACCTCCAACGTGCGTACCATGTACACCACGAACAGCGTACCACGAACAGAAACAAGACTAATGCCCGTCTTCAAAACAAAAAACAGTGTTCGTGAGTGTACGAACGGACTCGACAACAGTAACACAAATCATCACGTTGGTGACTGTAGCACGGGGCAAAATCACTCACCAGATGACGAGGATCGGGAAGAGACCACCGTTCCCGTTCTCGGCGTGGCTCATGGTCCGGTAGTTGAACACCACGTACGTGATGGAACACACGAACAGCCCGATGACCAGGTAGTTGAGTACCCGCAGCACCTCCCACCGGGGCCTCGGCTCCGCCGGGCGTTGCTTGACGGGCCTGCCGTGAAAAACGTTGGGCACAAGGTAGTCAGTAGCGGTTGAACAACGGGTTTCCGGGGAACTAGACCCCCCCCCCAAAACAAATCGTGTGCCCCGGGGAAGAAGACCTCAGAAACGGTTGTAATGGCCCGTGTGTGTTTGTTAAGGTACACTGTATATTGGTAATGTTCAGCTATGAGGACGCCATAACGGGGAGACCTGGGACCTCTCTTTCGGGGACTGTGACCTCGCAAGTACTGGCATGAATGCACCATGTCTTCTCGACAGATTATTCTCCCCGTATTGTAGCGTGGGATAAGACACCAGCAGTGCCATCACCTCCCGCTACAATACGCTGGTTAAGTCACACTCTCCAGAACCTCCTCCCGCTCTAAACGAAAGCACCGACAACTCCTGCTTCAAGCGTAAGTCCTTTGCTTTTCTCTTCAGCAAGGTCGGCATGTGACCAGATGTGTCGCTAGCTTTTTGACTCCCTCGTGGGCTTCTCAGACGCTGTGTTCTGATATCAGGGAAGGGGAGGACTACAACACGCCATCCTTCCATTCATCGTCATTTTCATAAACGCTGTTGTGGTCAAGCGTGGAGACTCGCGCGCCATGGACTTGGAGCGCGTGAGGGTGTTCTAGGGCATATGCCGTGCGATAGAGAAATCTATCAACTCTGATCGCGGTGTTGCAGCGGGTCATAGACGAGCACGAGGGCCGAGAAAAACGAAAAGCCCTGTTCGACGTCCTTGCTGTCGCACACAGCGAAGGGGGATGGGGAACCCCCGGCAACATCAGGTGCGGAAAGATAGCCGTGGCATGGCGATTTTTCGCGCGCCTGATGGCGCCGGAGCTTTGCCAACACCCTTCGTTGCATGCCACGTCAAGAAGGGCGACCGAAGACTCACTGTTAACGTCGGCCTGCGTGTTACTTGATAAACGGCCGCACCACCGCGATCAGAGTTTGGCAATAATGTTGTTGTTTACCGCGCGCTCGGCCCGGGAAAAAAACTTTCACGCGCTCCAAGTCCTTGACGCGTGAGTCTCCGCGCTCGACCAGGACAGCGTGTAAGAAAATGATAAGAAGGACGGAGTAGTCCTGCCCTTCCCCGATAGCAGAATACAGCAGCGGCCGGGTCGCAACCCGTGAGTACGGTAGCCGATACGGCCACATGCATGAGACAGAACAATGGAGGGTCTGCTTGCTGCAACGTGCATTTCGAAATTCGAACGCACCCAGGCATGCGCCCGCCACCCACACGCCTGCTTCTCCAAAGACCCGGGTATGCCGCAGCCGGAGCGTCAAACGGACGAATGGAATGCTGCGAACGATGCTCTCTCTTGCCTCCTGTTTGCCGTGTCGGCACTTTGTCGAACCCAACGAAGTGAGGATGAGCAATGCACCTAATATCTATGTAGGTCTTGTGTGCGAATGTTCCTGAAAAATCTTTGGAGCTTTTCTACGAGTTCTTCGAGCGGCCTTCATCATATGGCGACTTACTGTAATTCGAGTATTTCTAATTCGACGAGGGCGGGAGGGGGGGCAGGGGGGGGGGGCGGAGTTTCACCGTCTCCTATTTAAATAGTTATGCGTACCCACTTGCATTTTATGTATACTGTATCGACAAACGAACCCGTTCGACAGACTCTTTAACTGCTGTGAAGAGAGATCCAGTGTTGTGTTATCGAAAGAAAAACGAAAATTGTCGGCGACGGAAACGAGCACCATAATCACGGTATCTATCATAGCCGTGATGTACCACGGTACATGCATACGGACGTGCGCGTTGCCGGGATACCGGACGAGTTGGGGAAACACGGGGTCTGCTGATGCATTCCCCGCAAAAACACCAGGTATTTGTACACCTACGTTACAAATGTAGACATCTGTGCTATCTCATGCATATGCAGGACACATGCTGATCCACGCATACACAAAATATCCGCCACAACTAAAATCCCAACGGTTGGATCAAGTTGGTTGGTACATCTAAGTCTCGAACTTGCGTGCTGGTTCAATAAAAAATAGTGCTCCAAATACAATCGTGATTGCTGCGTACAGCCACAGCAGCAGTATTAGTCGAGATACCGGACACCCCACAGCTGTGTACGTATGTGCTGTATGATCTTCGACAAGCCCTTCTTGAAAAATATCTCCATCTGTCAAAGGAAATCCACTGATTGAGACTCTGTGGTGGCTACGGCTGTGGGCATGGGGGTTCGAAGTACCGTTACCGGATCGCCGACGGCTCTCGGCGAAACACTGCGAACAAACAACGACCACAAACTTCTGCCAACTGCCACATGTTAATACTTGTACTACATATGCATACGTTGTGCTGCTGTCTCCTGATCACCATTTTCTGTACGTGCATGTTCTCGCCTCCCTCACCTTTCGTCGCTGCTGTCCGAGAACAGCCTTGTCATGGCGGAGAAAAACACGAACGCAATGGCCGCGGCGCTGAGCACCGAAGCGTTAGCCATCAGGAACAGACCACCCTCCCGCGAAGCCTGTTGTGCATATCATCATTACCGCCGTCGCGAAGGCGGGGAGTCAGCCGTTTAACACATTGTCGGAGAAAAACGAGAGAAGGAAAACTAGCCAAGGGATGGCCGTTCGACCCAGTAGCTGGGGCGGGAGAAATTACCCTCCAGGGGAACGATGCATGGGAGATGCTGCCGATCTTCCGATCACAAATGCTTCCTTAGGTGTAGAACCGCCTACGCACCGCAGGTCCTTTCCCTCTGTTGTCTGAAAAATCGACAAAAAAAAACAAAAAAAAACTGTTCTGCCCGGCGGAAAGCCAACCGCACAAAATATCTCACCTTTACTACCAGGGCCTGCAGGTCCTGAGATACCGTGCTCATCGTGCCGAAGTAAGGGTTGATTGTGCCGGGTGGCTTCTCCGTTGCCAGCAGAGGTCACCTCGTCGGCACTGCTGCTGCGTCTTGGTCTGGCGGACCGGAGGAAAAGAGTCGACCAACGTGTTTCGGGTATATCCGGCTGTGGTTTGAAATTTGGCTTCTCCTCCGCTCGGAAACGTGAAACCAACAACGCAAGTCGAGAGCAACGCGGGTAGGCTTCGAGAGTGTCCGTGCAAGCTCACCCTTCCTTAGCCCAAACGCAGAGAGCAACGTGCACGACAAGAAGGCATCGAGGAAAGCGCGTAATACCCGCGGAGGCGACGCATATATGCAGGGGGGAAAAGGTGGAGTAGGGTAGAGGAAAGTGACCGGGGATGTACTAAACATCATCCCCGTTTTATAGTCTAAGTTTAGTATAGAGGGAGTTCCACGTTTATGCGCGATCGCGCCATGGATGGCTCCGTCTCTGGCCGACCCGCGCCCACAATCTGTGCAGCAGCAGTAACCCTCCTTCGTCGTAACCATGCCGGCCGATCTCTTGCACCCCACCTCCTCCCACGAGAAGAGGGTCCACAAGCTCAAGAGGCTGGTACAGAGCCCCAACAGGTGCGTGGAATTGGTTTGACCTGCAGCAAGAGAGGAGATTTGTGGGTTGGTGGCAGCGCTGCCGTGCAAGAGATGAATGGATTGTGTGCCTTTGGCACCAGCATTGGGAGCACAGCAGGTGCCGCCCTTACCGAAAGCTAGGCCCGTGGATGGTTACTTTGTTTCGTTGTGAGTTGACATGTGTCTTCGCGTTTGGGATCGATCGCACATCAATAAATCGCATCGGCAACTTTTATCCGTGTGTCTCTGAAAGGCCGCGTCTCATCCCTTGCGTTGTCCAACACGAGAACCTTGACCCAGAAAGGTCCTCGCTTTCTGCTCAAAGTTGTGTTTGTGTCGACGACGGCTGCTGCAAAGTTCTATATCCGATGTTGGCAAGGCCCCGTGCCATCGGCAAACAGAATCGTGCGGTAGGCCGTAGTTAGTAGGATTAGTTGTGTAGCCTGCTGTCGTAAGGCCCTCCTGGCCTGCAAGATGGGTTATGTGCTGCTAGACTGGTGCTGTAGGTCGAGGACAATCCTCATTTGAAGTCTCGCCGGAACGAATAGGCTGTTTCGTGCTTTCACAACAACTGGCAAGTGGTGGGTACAGCTTGCGGGAGTTCACAGCAGCGAGAAATCCTATAGGCTCAGAGGAGACCCTCTGAGCACGCAAGCAAGTACACCAGTTGAAAAGCATCATCAGCCTGTTCTTGGACTCAGTAATTAATTATAACTCACGAGCGTTTACCACCCGCTTGAACCTCCGCCTTCTCTCTCGCGCGCGCATGTCACTGCTGTCTTCGTAAATCTGGTTTATGCTGTAGCTTCTTCATGGACGTTAAGTGCCCCGGGTGCTTCAACATCACAACGGTGTTCAGCCACGCACAGGTGAGAATTGCCTTCTCAATTGCGCTTGTTGCGGTACATGTCGCATCCCGCCCTTCCAGCTGGGGTGTACACCCAGCGCCCGATCTCTCGCATGATGGCACATGAGAGATGGATATTTTGTCGTGGTTTGGTGAGGCGCCTCTCACCGCCCTCAAGTTTGACTTTTGGTGCATCAGACGTATTTATCATGTGCGTTCCTCTTCCTGTCGTTGTCGACAACAATGGAACAACGTGGGCGCTCTTTGTGCTACGAGTTTCGCGGTGGGCGTGCTCCGCCTCTGTGCTTGGATTGGATAATTGCTGTATCGAACCCCGGACGCGTTGGAGAGTCCCGTCAAAGCACAGCATGGCGTACGGGACCGATCATAGAAGCACGACGCGAGCGTACAGCCTTGGAGAACGTTCCTTGGCATGTTCCTTACACGTTGAACCCTCTGCACTCCAACTCGGTTGGTGAAAGCAGTGTGTTGGGTGTTGTAAGCAGGCGCGGTCGGGAGTATTTGCCAAGAGTTCGAGCTACGCGTCGTGGATTGTCCATTCCTTTTCCTGTGACATTTGAAGTGGGCTGCGGCGCTTGGCCCCGATCACTCGTTGATCGGTAGCACTTCGGGTGATGATTTCACACACGCGATCACTGGTACAATTTTATGATCGAAGAGACCCTGGCAAGGGTTGCTCTCTGCGGTCGATTTGAACAGCCGTGGTATACTACTTTTCCAGCAACTTGGGGAAGCGCTGTTGTATACGGTGCAGCAGCGTACAGTATTGCTCCAATCACGAACCCCACAAGGGTGCATGTCAAATGGCGTGATCTTGAAAAGCAATGTGCCACGCAAAATCCTGGAACGCATCCCGGCGTGCGGCCTTTCAGTTTTCGAGGAACGGGCCGAAGAACTATTATTCTCAGAATCAGATCCGACGTACGCTTCTCCTCCGCGGGCGCTAGCAAGAAGTTGGCCTAATCACTGCTGTGATAGCCATAGCTGCATTTTCAAGCCTTGGGAGCAGCGTTGATGAGCCTTGGCGTATTGAAGGGCGCATGGCCGGGTGACTCGCGGACATGCTTCTCAGGGCCGTTTTTTATAGTAAACAGTTGTTTCGCATCGAAATTCCCAAATCCGTACGTGTACAGTGTAGGCCATTGAACCTCGATTTACGGCCGAAGAGAACTGTGTGGATATGGAATTTTGAAACCACCGGCACCGACAAAATTGGAAATTTGAAGCAAAATCGCTCTGTATGAAACGGCCCTTATCTCGCGAAAGTATAGTCTGCAGATGATCACGGTGAAGGAGGCCCTGCGAGACGACGCTGGTCGTGACTCTGGCTGATATTCCGTTGATCTCCGTCTCTTGTCTCTTGTCACTCAAAGTGTTTGCTGGCTTTTAGGTTAAATCGTTTTGGGTCGACTTCTGGTTTGCCCTCGGAGCGCTAATTTCGCCGCGGGAGAAACACATCCCTTGCAAGTTTTGGCTGTGTCGCGCCATTGCATCCACCGTGATTGTAGCGAACCTCGCTTGGAGTCGTCGGTGCCAACCAAACGTGCATGTCACCCGCCCGACAATCACCACCCCCTCCCCCACCCCCTCGCCGATTGGATTCCTCTACAATGCAGACCGTGGTCGTATGCGGATCGTGTTCGACCATTCTCTGCCAGCCCACCGGCGGAAAAGCGCGACTCACCGAGGGATGTTCCTTCCGTAAGAAGGTCGACTAAGCTCGGCGGGCCACCGGCAACCGCAAATAATTTCTCGGGAAAACATTCATGAGCGCCCACATCGTTTTGGAAGGGCTGGAGGGGCAACGGTGGTGACTCCGGAGGGCACCGCGACACTTTGCTGCGATTTTGGTTGTGATTGGGTTGTCTAGTCTACCCAGCAGTTTTCCGGATGATTGCTCCTTTGTTGGTAGGTCGAATGTGCTCTGTCAGGAGTCGGTTCAGAGGCTGGTTTGATACCACTCGGCCTTTGCCGCCCTGCATTGCTCTGCGTCGGAGCTGACCGCCTTCTTAGCTTTCTTGAAGCAAAGATGGACAGCCAGATGTTCCTGCCGATGGCTGCTGTGCGACAAGGCTTCGATCCGCTTTGAGCCGTTTGCTGGCGTTTTTGTTTGTTTTTCGGGGATGATTTGTTGTCCCAGGCGACTTGAAGATACGATAACGAGGGCTCCCCTCTGCTGCTGAAAATCCATGTGCGTCTCCCGCGCTCTGGCTCTCCCTGTCCTGTGATGTTGCATTTACCGGGCTACAGTCCTTCATGATCCCGCTCAGCGGTGTATCACGGCGTCTGTCTGCGCACCTACCCATCGATGCCCGTCGAGGATGTGCGAGAGTGGGTGGTAGCTGCAGCGGCTTGCAAAGTGTGGTGCGAGAAGCGCCTTCACATGTTTGGGTGTTGGCGTCCCGAAACGATATACTTTGAAGTGTATCCCGATCCGCGATTGCCTGAGGCAACAGACGCGCGCTTTCTCCCTTGTGTACAACACGGACTTTGATTGCCTGAGGATTCGCGTGCCAAGGCTGTCGTGTGTTCGCCATTCCGAAGCCTACACTCCAACGTTGTCTTCTTACGGAGCTTGTCAACCAAGAATAGACGAGCATCAGTAGTCTGGTTCTCATGGGGCATGGGCGGAGTGACACCTGGCCACAACTGTTGTCTGTTGTCACCACAAGCAAGTCTCCGAAGGTGGAATGTACCGGTCGTTCCGTAAACATGGATTTACCGTCAGCAACGATCTACCATGTTGCAGTGCCTACGGATGTTCCACAGCCCGCTCCGCTGGCTTGTTCGTTAGGTGTGCATCTTCACGCCATCAGAGGGCATCATCACTGATGCCGTACCTGATCTCTACTTGACTATACACGGTGCCATTTTGAGGCACTTCATGACGCCCCAACGAGTACACAGAGAGGAGACCCTGGAGGCAAGCACCACGACCGCTGTTCAACCTCCAGAAGAGGGAGGAGGGCACCTTATACTCGTGTGCGAGAGGCAACGCTCTCGCCGATTTTATTTAGGTAAACATGCCTCCTTCCATTTTATCCCTCGAATGTCTCGCTCTTTGCCGCGTTCGGGGTTGGTTCTTCTGCGGGACACAGCAACGGCAACCCTGCTGCTTGGCAGGACAAAGTAACTCCCGATCCCTCTCGATGGAAGATCAAGATTGCCGTCGATCGAGGATAACCCCTCTCTGAGGTAAGCACCCTCCTGCTGCTGTAGGTTCGCTGCCTCCCAAACAACAGCGCGCAACAACAGCAGACGTTTAGGAACGGTTGGTTGATCAGCAGGTGCGACCCCGCCGTTAGGTGTTGGTTCTCCCCACCCTTTGCTTGCCCTTTCGTGGCGTCAGAGTTCAAGGCAGTTTCATGTTCAGTGCCTGGTAAGCGTTGGGCTTGATGTAGTGACAAGGAGAGATGCGTAAAGCAGTGCAGCAGTTTTCTCCCCTCAATTTTGGATTTTCAGGTTCTGGGCACGATGCGTTGTCTGTGCCGATCAAGTAAGGAGGTCCAGGCCTGGGCATGGGGATCCGACCACACCGCATGTGCTCCTCCGATCCAGCAACAGAGCCAGCCCCCTACAATAACTCTACACTATACTGGCGTCGTGGTTCTTATTCGTGTTGCCGAGGGACGTTCGCCACGTCGACGGGCCTACGGAACAGCGTGTGCACACTTGACTACAGGCATAAAGGGCACCAAAGATACACTCAGTCATGGGGTGTGTGATGGCTCCTTTGTTCAAATGTACCAGAACAGCAGTGAACGTTGCTTTAAGCACTGCATTACAGTACCAACGGGTGTTCCTTACACCTTGCGGAACACTGTACGGGACTCGGGGTGTGATAGTAGTCGGAGCAAGGTTGGTGGACCTAACGAACATGAGGCCAAAACATAACGACTTGCACCCCAGGCGCGAAAGGGGTGCAGCAGAGAGAGCACTACAGCAGTACAGCGGTAGTAGACTGACTACATATACCTAATGCATGCATGCGTCGTTCAAGTGTCCACAATGCTGCAGTACACTCCAGCAGCAGTACCAAGCCTACGTTTGTGCCCGTCCTGCCCGACCTCCGAGTAGATGGAGCTCACAGCTTTGCGATCATAATTTACTGGGTAGGTGCTAGCAGACCACGGCGGTGTTTTGACTCCCATCGCCGCTCATTTGCCGGCGCGTCCGGAGGTTTTCGTGTGCGCCTTGGTCTCTGCGCAATTGCTCAACAGCAGCCGCGAAGGAAGCAACACCCACGTGCGTTTGGTTGGCGCCAATGATACGGGTTACCCTATATATGCCAGCAAGACGGCGTAAGTTCCGTGTGTGCGCGCGATGTTTTCACCTTCGCCTCTTCTGTAGACGCCCTGGCCAACCGACCACCATCTTCTCTGGACCACCTCAGTGTTTGGACCTGCAACCAGGCACCTCTTTCCTATGTACCCCTTCTCTTTCGTGTAGGCTCTCGCCCGTACGCCAACAAACATACCGTAGCACGAGTCGTCGCAGAACCCGTTGGACCAAGAGTCGAGACTCCATTGCTCCGCAACCAAGAGGATGCCAACAACCGACCTATACGTTCGTGCTTGCATGGGAAGCTACATATCTCTCCTTTTTGAAGGGTTCGATAACCGCCCTTTTCGGCATCGGCCATCTGTTGGTGTTGGAGATATCGAGCAACATGTGCAAGTTAGTAGGGGATGCGCGATCACTGGCAGTTTTGCGGTACCCGGAGCACTTCTCCGACGTATTTTCTTTGGTATACCTTCCCCCCGCTACACCCGAAACCGTTACCTCGCCGTGTGCTCACCTCCGGCAGATGTTGCAGCGACGCGCTTCGGTGTCCGCGAGGGGTCGACGCCGGGGGGTGGGCGGGGTCAGAGGGCCGGACCCTTTCGAGGTGGCGGCCGACGAGGGCCCTATTATCCTCACGAGGTCGGAGCTACAGAGGCGGACAAGGGAACGCTCCAGGCTGGCCGCTCTCAAGGTTGCCGAGGAGCATGGGAAGGTGGGATCTGGGGCGGGGGCGACAAGGGGGAGGTTCTTGGTAGACATGCGTGTTGAGAGAGAGAGAGAGAGGGTGAGACAGAGTGTTTGGTGGCGTTAGATTGGCAGATAGAAATGGAATCGCACTATTGTACGCTAGTGATACGCACAACCACGGAGCCGCGAGACCGAGAGACAGACAGGCAGACACAGACAGGAGTAGAGAATCAGAGGCACCAACGAGAGAGACCTAACGGACAAGTTCAAACGACCCGCATGGCACCCGCATGGCATACTTCTGCAAGGCGCTCGCACACATTATACAAATCCATCTCCGCTTCGCACTGCAGTGTTCTACCGGCTCGAGATACATGGGGTCCAGGTCTTTGTGACCCTACGCCATCCCCCACCAACACGTTGCTCTATGCATACCACGGGGCGATCTATCTGTGCTCGCGTCTTACCCCTCTCTCAGGAGCGGAAGCGCCGCGAGATAGCCGCGAAACGAAAGTCAGCCGCCAAGGCCCTGGCAGCCCAAGCCCGCCGCGAAAACGCCGTCCGCTTCCGTCGCGAAACCCTCTCTGCGGGGCCCCCGGAAGGAGCCGGCGCCGGCGCCGGCGGCCGGCGGGGGGGGGAGGGCACTGCGGTTGGCGAGGGGTCGTCGGGCACGCGGGCCCGGTCTCACTCTCCCCGTGGCGTTACCGAGACACGGAGACGCGGCCAGAACGTCCCTCCCGACGGTGCTGCTGCCGGCGGGTCCAGGACGAGGTGGGGCGGGGACCAGGACGTCGTTGCTGCCAGCTTCAAGCATCCCCAGCCTCGCTCCGGCTGGCAGCAAGAACAGCAGCAGCAGCAGCAGCAGCAGCACTCGCGACCTCGCTTGTCCCGTTCGGCCGGTGCGACTCGCAGCAGGGACGAGGAGGACCCCCCGCTCCCTCCCCTCCGGAGACGGGTTCTGCGAAGTAGCGGCACGGCGAGGGCGAACGCCCTTGCAGGAGAGCAGTCCAACAGTGTCGCCGCAGACGCGGGTAGTAGTAGACGGGCTGTGGACGAGGGCGGCGCCTTCGGGGGGGCCGCGGATGTAGAGGGGGGCGATAGTCGAGCTGAAGGCAGTCGACAAGGAGCTGGAGGCGTCGGCGGTAGTGGCGACGACCGTGGTGGCGCAATCGGCGCGACCGCGGCACCTGGCGAAGAAGAGGAGCTCTTGAATCCGGCACAGTCGTCGACCGCGGATGCGGCGGCTCCGGCGAGGGAGCAAGCCGTTGCGGCGGCCGTCCCAAGGGCTAGAGCTACCGTCACCGATACCGTGCTGCAGCAATCGCGCCGTTTGCGGGGAGAAGCGGCTGCTAAGGAAGAGGCCGAGCGGCAGAGGCAGGAGCAGCAGCGGCGGCAAGGGGGCGGGGCGCGGGGTGGCAGCGGGGATCGGCACCGACAAACGCTGGCGTTCATGGTCAGGCAGCGGAAGCAAGCTGCCATGGAGAAGCGGAGGGCACAGCAGGAGAAGATTGAGAGTGCCGAGAACCTGAGGCGTGCTTTAGAGGTGAGGGTGATTGGCTGTTCGGTGGCGAAAAGAAACGATGAAGTTGAGGTTATCTCTTTTCTTCTCCGCTTATATCGGCAACGATCGTCACCCGCATGGCTTCCGTTGTTGCCGAGCACCAGGTATGTGTCGGTGCTACCTGGGTAGGACTGGGCCTGCGTTGAAATCGAGAGGGCGTGTTCGTATTCTGTATGTGGAACACAACCAAGCCAAGGGTCGACTTCCGCAGTCGACTTCTGCAGATCTGTCGAATTGCCACTCACCCTACCTACCCCACGCCTCATTTCGGCTCGTGGTTCTGTAACGACCCGCCGGACATCAATGAACAACAGAAGCTCGAGCAAACGCGGAGACAAGGCATCTCACAGCAGCAGCGCCCGCTCCGCTCGCGGTCTCGAGAAAACATGCACGCAGCCAGGCAGCCTCGCACTGCCGCAACCGCACCATCGCCGCCGCCGCCGCCGCCGCCGCAGCCGCAGCCGCAGCCGCCCGCCCCCGGGCTCTCGCGCTCCGTGCCGGCGGCGGCGGCGGC